GAAATAGTTTACGAACTTTTCGGAAATAGTCTACGAACTTTTTAGAAATCTACCCTACGAACTTTTCAGTATTACCTTATATATGTATAAAGGTTATTCTTAAAAAAAAAGTTCGTAGGTCCCTTATACGTAGGTTGGAACTTAAATACTGGCAACTATTTATTCACAACCGATACAAAAGAGTTACACGTTTGCACCTGTTACTATCCTTCAAAATAGTCACCAGCGTTGTGTAAAACCCGTTGCCAGCGATTTGGAAGGCGTAGTATACCGTAAGTAGAGCCTGTTCTGTTGATGGTGCGAATGCAACGGTCTACTGCCATGTCTCATTCAGTGTTACGATACGGCGTAGGAAAGCCTCTCCTTCGCGCTCATAGCGCTCCAAGTCCGTCTGAGCAGCGTTGTAACGCATCCATTTTTGCATTTCCGTCAATTCATGCGGAACCCATCGTGGCATTCGCTTCAGAACTCTTCCAGAGATTCGACAGGCAATAGACTGCTCCATTCGCACCAACAGAACAGGCTCTGCTAACGGTATACTACGCCTTCCATATGGCTGGCAACGGGTTCTACACAACACTGGTGACTACTTTAAAGGACAGTAACAGGTGCAAACATGTAACTCTTTTATATCGGTTGTGAATAAATAGTTGCCACTATTTAAGTTCCAACCTACGTATATATACATAGTTTATTAATCAACTATAGATAAGTATTCTTACAAATGAGAAAAAATGAACAGAAGATCACGTCGAACGTGCGTTCCATATTTTTATTTCAATATGAATAAAATACGTTCCAAATTAAAGCGAACAATTGTTGACATATAAGAAAAATTTGTGAGAGATATTAATGGAGAACAATTCTCGCAAATCAGGGCAATAATTATAATACCATTGTATCAATAATTAAATTTCTCTATAGAGGAAAAAGTGATGAAGTTTGTTCGGTTGATAATAATATGTGTCGTGTACTGGGGAAATATATATAAAATATTATAGTATAAAAGAAAAATCAACGAGAAAGAGAGAGAGAGAGAGAGAGAGAGAGAGAGGGAGAGAGAGAGAGAGGGAAGGAAAGCAATAGAAGGGGGAATAGTAGAAAAGACAGGAAAAAAATTGGAAGAGAAGAAAGAAATTATATATAGGTAACGAAAATCAGGGAACTAGAATGATCCTGGCTTTGCACACGGAAATCGGGCATTCGCCCAGGAGTTGCATATACTACGTATGCATTTCGGACGCATTTCGAGCACTGCAATGTGGTCCGGCAGCCTGAATTCAGATGGCTACCACACGATTGCAGCAACGTATGATCCATCTCGGTTGATTCTCCGGTACCCCCTGGCAATACCCAACTAGCCAACACCGTCAAACCCCTTCCTTGTCTATCGCACGGCCTCATCTCTATCTAACACTAGCCATGCGGCTACCAGACTAGCAGCTTTCATTGCTGTTGCCATTGGTATATACGGTTCATAGGCGTAGCACCAAAGCATTAAACAAAAACACACGAGCAGAGATATAATCGTAGCCACAATGAAACTTACCCTTCTCCTCTCTCTTTCTCTCTCTTTCTCTCTCTTTCTCTATTTCTCTTTTACTGGACCATTCGTTCGTTCGTTGTGATTGTACAAATAATACAATAGAAAAAAACTTCAAAGAGTATATAAATACCTCGTTTCGAAATGGTTTTTTGTTTTCTTGATTAAAGTTCGATTTATTTCTTTTCATTTCACTCAATTATTATTTATAACGACGTTTGCTTCAAATCAGTTTATTTCGTTTAATTGAAAACTTTGTTTTTCTTAGATCTTATTTCGTAAGAATAATTTTAAAGTATTCTTTTCGTTCACCCGTTTAGAAATTCACGCTGTCTAGAAATTCAGAATAATTTTCTTCTTAACAAAAATTCTTGGCTAAAAATGACCATAGATTAATTAGTACAACGTTTATTGAAACAAAAAAAAATAAGGCAGGAGAGAAGGGATCTCCTTAATTGCCATAGCGAGACATCCTAAGTTTCGTAATAACCAAGCCGTGCCGAGGTTATAAGTAATGAATCCAGATGTCGTCGACAACGAAACGTCAGGTGGAAAATGACAAAGGTCTATGTGAAATTTCAATTCCATTCGTCGTCTGCGTCACAGTCGTGGAAAAGATAATGGATTCGGCTTTCATTGGTTAAAGTTTCTGCGCTCGGGTAGGACGAACTTTTTATTTCAATGAATATCGGGGTTAATTTTATTTAGGACGAGAGCTAACTGAACTTTCGTCCCGCTTTTTTTTCCCCTCGGACAAATCGTTTTTTCAATCGCGACGGATTTTTATTTTATTCTATTGTATTTTCTTTTATTCTTTTTTTCTTGTTTTTTTTTGTTCTTTCCTTTTTTTATTCGCCAAAAAGTTCAATCTTTTTATTTTAATTGATTTCGTTATTCAAAGTGGCTCGTAGGTACTATATGAACTAACATTTATACATACATATATACATCCGTACATATATACATATGCATATACGTATATGGATACATATATTGTGCAACGACAATAGTAACCATGCTTAAACGTCGGTACGGTCGATTCATATTTCGTTAATATTATCAGATGAGATTTAATTAGGGAATGTCGCCCTTTCGTTCGCCCTCGAAACCATGCTATTAGCACTACGGGAAGTAGTATAAAGTTCTCGTATACCGTTACAGCTACAACACTTAAAAAGACGTTAATCATTGAACCTCGGTGTCACGACCTAATTTCGATGTACTGCTGATGAGGAAATAAAAGTCTTTCATAGTACGAGGCACGAATAAAGAAGGAGTAACTGCGTGGAACGAAATTGGCAATGCAAACATCTCTTTCTCTCTTTCTCTCTTTTTTTTCTCTCTCTCTCTCTTTCTGTTTCTCTATAGATAAAAAAAGAAAGAAAAACAACAAGAGAATGAGAGAAAGGAAGAGATAAAGAGACACGGGATTTCTTAAAGAATTTCTTATGGTTAAGATTTCGTAGAGATTAAATACCCCTTAGCTATTGTCAATTTCAACGAAATTTACTTGATTTCATGAGGACGAATTGAGTTGGTTGAACCCAAACATAAAACGATCTTAAATTTTATAACTCGGTGAAACGAGCTGGAAGTTTGCGAGCGTCGGGAAACATCCAGCTTTTAAAAATGGTCTTGAAAGCGTCCTGAACAGAATTTCCCTCTCGCTCTTTCTTTTTCTCACTCTTTTTCTATCATAAAAGATTTTCGATCGACGCGTCGTTCCTCGAATAATAACCTTTCGCCCGTACTCTTCCTATCAAGCTGATGGAGATGAGTTTGATGGCAGCGGCATTGTTTTATGCAACGAAACGTCGACCCAATTTCGATATTGCATCAACGTGCTAATAAAGATGAAATGCGTGTGGGTATGTAAAGAAGAAAAGTCGAGTGGCTTTTAGAGAACGTGTTTGTACGAAAATAACACAACGAAAAACATCGAAATAGACAATAATTAAAAATTTTGTATATACGATATTTTATCATTTTTATTTTCCTATTAACTCGTTCCTCCTTGGATGATATGTGATACAACGTGTTAAATTTAGTTTAAAACATCGAGCTTATAAATTCCATTTATATTTTCTAACGTTTTTCTAACGTATTTTTGTTTGCTTATTTATGCTACTTTGTAAAGTATTGACACTATTTCTAATAGACAAATTTGTTCGCATTGTTTACAGCTATTGATATCAAATCTTTAATTATTGTCTCATAATTAAAAAAGTTCTATATGCAAAAAGATATCGTAAAATACTAATTGTAATCTTTTTGATTGAGGTTAGGGAACCTTATCAATCTACGTCTCTAAAAGAAAGAACTATACAACATCTGACGAAGCACGACGTTAATTAGTCGTAAAGGAAATAATTAATTATTAGTTAATTTTATGTACTCTATTTGTTATAATTTAAACTTCATATATTGTTATCAAATAATTTTATATAAATTTCATTAATTTGCAACGCGTAGTAATATAAATTTATATTCAAGATACCGTATGCGAATCAATATGAAACATTAAAAATGCGAGAATGTAGTTGTTAATATTTATTGATTTTAACGTTTATTGATAATAATAAACATTATTAGTAGAATCTAAAAGATTTGATTTATCGTGTTTTCTATTTGCAATAATCTGACGTAAAATTTCCAGCTATGCTAAGTATAAAAGTAGTTGGTAAATATTTTTTTCCTTTTAAGGCACCAAAATATTTAGTAAATAACAACGCGAAATTCGATTATTTCTTCAACTATGTTAACATTTTATCGACCGATAACGGTACAACATTATATACACTTCTCACTGGCCTCTTGGCCGGTAGCTATCTTGTTGATTGACATCTCAACCGATTAATCGGCTATCGATCGGTAAAATGTTAATTATATGAGGAAAATATGATGAATCATTTTTCTTTATCAAATAGCCTTGTACACAGATGTGCATGTATTAGTAGTGGTGTACGAAAATAAAGAATAGAAAATCATTGCATTTTTATGTATTGAATAATACATAATTGAATCAAAACAAATCGTGTTGTGCATCGTAAGAAGAACTTTTTCATGCTTATATGTTAATAGAAGATAGTTCGTCGAACTTATTTCGGCTATTCATATCGCTTCGATGAAAATATTAATTTTAGTCTAAACTTTACATTTTTTATATAATGTCAATATAAAATAATATAATATCAACGAGTTAAGAATAATTGCAACCAATGCAAGTTATCTTGGTATTAAATTTTCGCTTAAGAGTTTCATCGGTTGATAAAAGAATTTTAATTTCTTATTTAAAAATTATTTCTTCTTTGAATGTACGACAATGTTTAACACGTTCTGCGTGACACGTGTATGTACATTAAATACAAATTAGTTTGATTCATTGTTGCTTTTATGACAATTACAATGGATTATCTATTTATAAATAAACTAAAGAATAATAATAAAATTGTTTCAGTGGCTTGTTCAACGGTGACAGTGACAAAGTGTCGTTCAGCACTTCATAGTCTGCAAGCTTTCTCATTCTTTCGACCCACGTGTCTTTGTAAAGAGCGGCACGTCGATCCAGACTGCAATAGTTTCCAAAATTTCCTCTTCGATCATCCCTGCATTGATGTACAGAAAAAAGGTGAGTCATTTCTTTTCACACAACATAAAATTTTATCAAACGATTTTAATAGCTCGTATTCAAAAGGCTTTTATTTTACATTAGCAATATTAACTTTCTCTCTAATAACCAACATCATATAACTTTGATACTATAAACCTTGTGTATTTGTAGTTTTCAAGGCTTATTTCATTTTTTGTCATCAAATTAATTGTTGATTAATGTAATATTCAATACCAAATGAAAGTATTCAAACAGACAAAATTTTTAATTTACGATAAAATGTAATAGCTTTTATTAATATAAATTCGAGTTCAATTTAAGTTCAAAATAATATATTAGCTAAAAACGATGCTACATTCGTTTTTTATGATTATTTTACAATATACTTAATATTTAAATTCGAAAGACATATCGTAAAAAGAAAAAAAAAACTAAAGCATCAAACATTATATAGATTTTCACGTAATATTATCGAAAAATTAAATTTGTATCAATACTTTTATTTACCCTACTTACTATTATATAATATATTCCATAGATATTACTACGTGATAATAACAATTATAAACAAATAATTATCACTGTGTCGTATTTCTTGCAATCAATATAAATTAAAATATGTAGATGATAAGTCTTATATTTAGTTCTTTCCTTTATATTTTATTTTCTGTTTGAATATTTTATCGAACTTAGTTAAAGAAAAAACTCCACTCAAAGATTAAAAGAAATATTTTGAAGTGCAATAAAATTCCGAACAAACTCAAGAATTATCGAGACATATTGGTGCGACGAAAACCTTTGTACATTGTCGGGCTCTTCGGGTGGTCTCGGATTCCTATATAAACACATGCGACACCATATAAAGAGAAATGATATTCTTTATTCTAAACAAAGTTCCTTTATGCATAATTTCCACTACGATCTTTACCAAAAACATAAGCTGTTCCCATCGGTGGACTATGGGGATGGACCCTACTAGTATTAGCCAATAAGATTCATATATTTCCTTCCCACTCTAAAGGGGTGTAGCTCATTTTTGATATAAATATGTGAAATAAAGTTAGGAAGCATCCACTAGCTATCAATCTATCTGTTACATAGTGAATCCGTCTATTATCTGTTATATCAGTTTGTTATATAATCAGTCAGTCAGTCTTATATTTGTAACTCTTTTGTACTCTGTACTTTGCACCCACGTCACTTTTTATAAACTTTTTGTAAATACCGCTCGACATAATAATTAACAGATTGAATAAACTATATTATTATATTTCTATCAGAACTCCAAATTGTTATTATTATATATATTATTATTTCTTTTTGAACCCCACAAATATAAATTTGTGTGTTATTTTTTATATGAATATGTAAAAAATAAAAATTGTTAAAAAAAAGGTTAAGACTATCCTTTTAATTAGTCAAAGAAAGATCAAAAGTAGGTATATATGTACTTACTTTCATTCGTGATGGTTTGTCATGGTAAATTCAATAATGGCTTTAAAGCTTAGGAAACTTCGTAATCCTTGCGAAAGCCTACGGTCGAGCGAGAGGTATCAAGTACATCGTCATAACAAACGATGTCGCAGCACTTTCGAGAGAACTTCTCCGGTTTCCTCGCGACATCCTCTTCCGCTCGTATAGCCCCCTTCGATATCTCCAAGGAAGAGACAAGAAAACTTGTAACGATCCCAAAGACCAAAGCAAGTTGTTGGACAACGCGTATTGCGAAATCCCGTTTGCTTCGTATTCTCCCTTGTCTTTTGATATCGAGTTCGAATCTCGCGTTTGGAATAAAATTCGAGAAAAGAACAAAGTTCCAAGAATGCCCTTAAAACAACATTTTCTTTATTTTTCTTATTTTTTTTTTATCACTCCTTTAGCAAAATTAAACTACTACACATTTTAATTTATTAATCCTCTCTATTGTGTGCGTGTATTTTTTTATTTTTCTTTACAATATTTTCTGAGAAAATAATACTATTTATTTTAAGTAAATATTAAAGCAGACATAATGGAGAAATCACATTATCATAATGTATTTTTTATTAAATTTAATGACGACAAAATGTATCACATATGTTACATTGAATATTAAATTACAGTAAACATTAATATTTTTTATTGCGCAATTTCGTTCATTATTTTTTTTAAAGATTAAAGGATGTAAAGTTAGATTTATTGTTAATTCGAAAAAGTATGCGGTATAAATATTATATTTCTATTTGATCAAAAATAATTTATTATTTAAAAATATACTTTAAGGTCTGCGGTTTATTAAGAAACTGTTTAAAGCTTAATCTTTAGTTGTTTTGTTTTTATGATAGAACTTCATTAAAACTTGAAGGGACGAATGATAAATGAAATTAGAGTAATTCGTTAAAGAAATTGGAAATAACGTTGCATCCAATGGGTAGGTAGGATCTTCAAAGCCGTTAGGAATTAGAAGTCTGCTTCCACTAATGTTGATTTAACGAAAGCTACTTGCATCTTTGTGCGTGTAACACATTTTACCTTTGTATACCTTTCTCTGGCAGATTTTATTTTAGTTCTTTTCTTTCTTGTCTTCTACTTTTTATTTTTTCCTTTCTTCTCATCTTTTTTTTCATTCTTTATTTTTTTCTTCTTTTTTTTTTTCTAAAAGAGTACCAGACCGGATTTAATCTCATTAAGTGCCGAAGCTTCCAGGTTTCGTAGTAGCTGCGGTACCGGCTGTGGCAGCTTTTATTATCCACTGGTCTTTCTCTCTCTCTCTCTTTTTCTCTCTCTTGTATGAACGGCTTTCAGTAGCAAGGCGTGCGGTTCACGGTGTAAGATAAAAGTAATTAAGTCGTGACCCAAGGCTGACTAATTGCACGATTTATTATTCTCGAGTGTTTCTTCTCGTTCACGTCGAAACTCGTGATTGCATTGTGATTGAAAATATAACTCGAATTTTTATGTCTATTTTTCTTCCTATCTCTCTCTCATTCTCTCTCTTTGTCTCTTTTGTTTACTTTTTCAAAGGAAACTTGAAAAGAACTTCGTAGTCACGCAATATGCTGCGATAATTACAAGGAAGTATGTATCAATTGAAATTCTAGTCTCGTCTTAATGTCTACAAACGTAATCAGCAGTTAGCGGGTAGTTCTCTGTTTACGTTTGATTGTACTATCGAAGAAAGGAATATAATTTTCGAAATAAAGTTTAAAGAAAGAAAAAAAGAAAAAAAGAAGGAAAGTAAAAAAAAACCGAACAAATTAAGGAATTGAAATAAAATGAAACGAATCGAATAAAGATTACGATTCTTGGTTGGAAATTCTTCGAGAAATCGATTTAAAGTACTTAGCAGAGACCGATTGAAATGTCGGAGAAGTTCGGCCGATCGCAAGTCGTTGAATGAAAGAAAGGATGAAAAGAAAGAGAGAGTAAGGGTGGGTGAGACAAGAGGAATGAAGAAAAAGAAATTCAATCGCTTTACTTGCACTATAGCAGGATGGCTAATAGCTATGGCGTCGAAGTTAACGATCCCGATAATCGGACGCGCGTCTTCTTTCACCCTTCTTCATGAAGCGTAAGAAAAGAGATCGAAAGAGAGAAAGAGAGAGAAGAGTGGGGGAAGGGTGATAAAGGGACAGATAGAAAAGAGAGGGTAGGAAGATCCCAAGAGATATCGGTCTCCAAGATCTTCCAAGCAGGAATTTTCTTTAAAAGCCAACTGACTGCTCAACCGATTCTTTCGAAGAAGAAACAAAAGGATCCAGATTTCTTTAACTGCGTATCCTTACATAGATAATATATAGCTATCATTATATATAGCTACGTATATACATAGGGTGTCCATTTTAATTTCATTCTTAGTTATCCAACATAAGAGAAAATAACTCCTCTTTGATACGAGTTTAATGATCTTGAAGAAATTCATTTTGATTTCATTAAGTTCAGATTTATTTTAATATAAAAAATTATTCATTGAAAGATCGTCACAAAAAATATGAAGACGTTCAGTGCAGTTAAAGTTAAATCATGTATATTCTTTATATAATGCTTATATAACATATACTTAGAGAAAGATATATGTACATAATATATTATATATATATATCTATACACATTTCCCCGGTGGCGTTGAATCCCTTCCTCTCTATGTGCAACCCCATTGTTCATTTTTCAGAAGGCTCGTTCGTTCGGGCCGCCAAGCCTTTTGAGTGTTTTGAACGATTCACAGATAATTCCCGATGCGCTTCTTTTCATTCTCACTGAAATAAGACTTTCTCGCTCTTACCTTCATCTTTGGCTTGGCATCTACCACACATCCCATTCCCGTTTCTCTCTGTTCCTCTCTAACATTTGTTCATCCTTCTTCTCTCACTTATCGAAGTACCTTTATCCCTTTACAAAGAGCAAAAGAATTCAATGACCCGAGTTCTATCTATCCCTTTGTCTTTTCATATTCTTTCATTTTTATTTTATTGCTCCACTCCTTTTTACTTTTTCCCCCCCTCTCTCTTTTTCTATTTTTTTTTTCTTCATTGCAGCTCCTTTTCAATAGAATTTTTTTGATTGCTTTATCGGATTATATTATAAATATCTATAGTACCAAATGTAGAAATATTACAAATAATGTAAAATTAATTTATATTTTTTTTTTATAATAATTTTTTTTTATCAATATATAAAGTGTGACTTTTTATTTAATTTTCCAATTTCTTTTCTTTATTTGTAAAATATAACTCTATTGAGTTTAAATTTAAAATATATCATAAGAGCTATGAAGATTAAATTGGTTTGCAATAAAAAAAATGCGATGAAAAACGCATAAAGATACTCTTTGTAGTTAAAAATTATTTTTTCTTTTTTATTGGTTTTTTTTTTTCATTTTTTTCATTGTACATTCATTTAATCTCTATGGCTTCAATAAAATTAAATTTTATACTAGAGAGATATATTTTAGCAAAATAATTAAATAAACAATGATAAACAATTAATGTACAAAGTATAGTATAAGAAAATGTATTCTGTGTCAATACTTATTTTCTCCACTATATAATACACTGTTGCTCATCTCATTGTAATAATTTTAGTATAATCATTCTTTTCTTTCTTTTTCCTATTCATATTAGATATAAATATATCACCAAAACATTATGTTACCTTCGTTGAGTTTAATTGTTACTAATCGAGATTGTCTGTGCATATAACTAATAATAATATAATTTTATTGGTTTTCCTCATGCGATTGTATTTCATCTATATGTCGTTATATCAGCTATTTGAAATAACACTTTTATTACTATATTTCGAAGAATAAACGGTAAAAAGATAAACAAAATAAAGCCGATCAGATTTTTACAGGTGACTATAATTATTTATTAAACAAGTGAACCTGCAATCTACGCACGTCCCTCGTAAATACTTACGACGATCGGAGTGTATTTCGAGTATCGTTTTATTTTTCGTTATATATCTTCCATTTTTCTCTTTTTTTTTCTCTCTCTCTCTCTCTCTTTCTCTCTTTAACGTTGGTACGATTGTATTTTTACTTCGCTTTTTACAACGCATTTGGCTTAACGTCCGCCAAAAAAATGTAATCTATTCGTCCTCGGAAATAGTACATTAATAAAAAAACACGCGTGTACCTTCGCGTTCGTGTTTCTGTTCGTAATCCGATATAGGATTACGGTAACACCGAAGAGCGATCGAAATAGGAACGCTTGTTAATATTCCAAAATTTTCCTGTGAGCGTATTTTTCCATCCGATTAAAAACATTGGTTTATTAATCTGCCTCTCTTTTTCTCTCCCATTCTCTTTTTTACTTTGTCTTTCTTTCAACGTTATTGTTTCGTCCCATGGAAAAAAAATTTCTATTCATACATTGAAGCGAAAGAGAAATAATAAAATAAATCTGATCTCTTAAAATTATACAATTGAGTTTATAATTTTAAATAAAACACACAAACACCATTTTATCTCTCCATTATGAAATAAAATATTGCATATTCATATTTAAAAAATTCATTATGCAAGGTTTCATAGTTTAATATGCGTCCATAGTATTTGTATAAAAGAACATTTTCATTTAAAATTAGACTTTTTTGAGTGATAATAGACATGTTTAGGTAAACAAAAATAAACGATTCTGAGTGAACTTTTTTTGTCAAGCTTGTTTTAATTAATAAGGAATACAAATTGAATATAATTTCATATTTGTGTAAGAGTTGAGAGATAGAATGACAGTAGGATGAGAGATAAGAAATAAAAGATAGAAGAACCAAATGTGTTGAATAAAAAATAAAACTTACAAGTACGTGGAAATATTTGATAAGAGAGAAACCAGATAAAAATTAGTCGAAAGAAAATATTAAAAAAGTAAAGGTATATAAAGTGTTAGTAATGTTACTATTAATTTAACACGTTTATGCCGGCGCCGATTTTCAGTGTCTGCGCTGTGGGGCGGCGCTCGAATCTATGGAACGCTTCATCTGGAGGCGCGCGATTTTTACTTGTTTATACCTGGACCAAGGTGGACTACCGGTGGTACGCGACGCCCGATGAAAAAATCTAGTGCTGGTCACCGGTGGTACGCGTCGCCCGATGGGACAGTCTAGCGCGAGCCACCGGTGGTATGAGCCGGCGTGAATGTGTTAAAATTATATTATCTTCATGAAAACTATTGGATATTATTTGTGTTTTCAATCTTTCTCATTTTTTCTATTTTACAAAATTAGATATTTACAAGATGTACTTATTATACATGTATATGTTAGTTGGATTTATATATTATTATAAATGAATTGAATATTTTTTTTTACAGATAAGGAGCAGCACCCAATAGAACCTTTACCAACATGCACCCACGCCATGAACGAGTGTCTACGAGCGAAGCTGTGTAATCAGATCTTGGAGAACTTCAAAAGCAGCTGTAAAGCACGAGAGGGCAAGTGCAGAATGGAGAGTCGGTGAGTGATATTGAGTTTGTTGGTTCTTCGTATTTAACCTATTTCGTAAATTTATAGAGATTGAAAAATACTCGACTAATACTCGCAAACAACTCATCAACGCAATATCTAATATAAGAAGTTCTTTTTAAACGAACTATTGAATATTGGATAATAATGAATACGGTCAATGAGAATTTTACCGTTGGCCATAGCACAAATGCTTCTTCATTTTATAGCAAATCTTTCTTTATTTCCATCCTCCTTGTTTTATTTTCTTCTATCTTTTTTTCATTATCTCTTGAAACTCCCATGCATTGTTTTCTTTATATATATTTTTTTTCTCCTGTATCATTGTTCTTATTCAAACGTATTGTTTGAAATTGAAATAAATTACGGGGCTACGTTTTTACGAATTTTCTTCCTCCCGTTTCTTTTTCTTTTTTTTTACGGAAGGAAACATTATTTTACAAATAAAAAACAAAAAATAAAATAAATAAATAACGAGGTGAATTTTAAGGAAAAAGAAAGACTAGTTAGATTCGATTTCTTAAAACTTAATTCTTAAAGATCATTGATGGAATCAATCGACCGACGTCATAGTTTTAACAAGTTATGAATATCAGTTTACTTGTTTCCTTTATCTTGTTTCTCTCGTAAGAAAATTTCCACGAGCACTTTGTAGTGATTCCATTAAACCGAGATACTTCCTTCTTAATACCGTAACTCACTAAGTTTATCGTCAAGTCGAAAGTATCTAGGAAACTTTAAAAATCGCCCTCGGGTCTTGATGTATACGATAAACGTTTGTGCGTGTTGAACACAACCTGCCATGAAAGCGAAAGAGAGAGAGAGAGGGAGAGAAAAAGAGACTTACCGTCATTCGATCAACTTCAAATTTTGTACAGATTATTTTTTCATCAAGTAACAACATTTTAAACAATGTATTTAAAACAAATTTGACGATTTTAAAATTAAGTCTACATAACTATCACTTACTATTTATATCGCCCAATATAACACAATACCAAACTAATTCTATTACTTATATACGAAAATAAAATATTATATTAAAGTTGTAAGTTTAGATTTAGAACAAAAATATAAAAAGAAATAATTTTATTTTGCAGAGGAATAAATTTGCTCGACAAAATTTCGGATTTACTGCAAAAATAGAAAATTAAATATATTTAGTAAACAATCGTTAATTCGTCGTCGTTTGTCTATTGATCACGTTTTATAATTAGAATATTAAAAAGTACTGATTGATTTGATAAAAAAATAAATTCATTGGTATGTGTGGTTCTTATTGATAAAAGAACTTTGGTAAACACTCGTCAACGACCTTTTTCAAAATCAAACTATGTTTATCCTAACTTCTACTTCAGTGTATGTTTTCTTTTTTCTCCGAGATATAAACACACAAGAGGAGAGTTATAATTCGATCGTCTTACTGTTAACAAGTCGACGCGTGCTTTATAAGAATATTATTTTCCTTTTAATATTTGAACAATTTCAGATTATTTATTAATAATTATTAATTATCAATTATTATCGTTCGTTTATCTAATTGAATTCTTACCCTCTAATCGTTTTCTATTAGTTTTTTATCAAATCAAAAATGAATTCCTAATAAACTCCCGATTTGTTGTCTAAGTTTTATTTAATATTTAAACTAATTCATTTATTTTTATTTAATAAATTTCCTTTGTTATTTAATTTATTGTTTTTTAATTATTTAGCAAGTTAGCAATATTTATACAATTTTCAGTAATCTAATCGTTGTTTTGTTATTATTTAAAAATTCTTTGCATTATTTTTTAACATTTTCATTTGGAGTCAGATTTAAAGAGGAATTTGATTTAAACCAGAACCGTCCAGCTGATAGAAGTCCATGAACTTATTTTTGCAATTCGCGAAGCAAATCAATTTTTAAAAATAAAATTTTAAAAAGCATCTGGACTAGACTAAATAATTAAAAGGAATAAAAACGTGTTTTATATAGAAAACTTATAATAGTGGCAGCTATATGATGTGATGGTATTTTTACACTTGCGTATACAATAACTTTTAACGTTAATTGACTTTTTGATTATCTGTCCTTCTTTGTTCTCCGAAATGCCAGTAAAAGAAAGAAAATATATCACGGGGATTAAAAATAAAAGAAGTTTGACACAGCTGCTAGACGGTTGTTGAATAGAACACATTTTTATTTTGATTTATTTAATAATAAGAAAAATATTATTTGACGTAGAAATGATTTGCAACGTGTACCGAAAACGATACTCGTGATTGAAAATGCGTTAATAATAAAGAAACGAATTATGTTATAAATTTAATTGAATCACTGATACTAATTGAATGAAAAAGAAAAAACCTTGAAAAAAGAAAAGTTGTTACTTCTGACAGGTTTTATTCAACAAAAGAAAAGATCTATTGTTAGGGAATTTTATTGTTGTTGAATACAGTTAGGATTTTCTTTCAACACGAAACATCGGGGAGCCAACGGTGCATTCGCCATCGGACTTTCTCTCGGAAATGACGAAAATTTGAACGTTTCTCGTTCCCTCGAAGCGGCTACCATCAACAGATAGACAGTCAGAACGGTCTGAACCAGACGATTCGCTCTAATTTCTGGTTTGAATTCGGCTTAACTGGCAAGCCCCTCTACGCGAGTGGGCGTTCGTTCTACCTCTTTTCCAGTTTGTCAGGAAAATTCAACGGCTCTAAAACAATCGGGGAAACGTGAAAACTGCATCAAAATCTCCGGCGTGAAATTCACGCTAATTGTTTCTACAGTCTTTTCCATTCGCTCTTCTTCCCAAATCCCATTCTCCGTCTCTCTTTTTCTCTTTTGACCTTTCTCTTTGTCTCGTTTACTTTCTCCTCATCGTATAGTGTAGAAACTATTCTTTTACCAAACATTTTTAACTTCTTTGTTAATATTTTATTTTACCTAGTGTAAAATAATTTGAAGATAATTACGTTAAACGATAAAATTTTAAAATATCGTCATAGAAAGTATGACTTTTTAAGAAATGGAAAAGGAAAGATTGATTATTGCGATAGCGTAAGCTAAAACTAAAATTTTATATTCTCTGTCTTGGAATGCATAAGAGGGTTTAAAATGTACTTTGAAAAATTGGTAAAAGGGAAAAAATTGACTTATCAATGATATAAAATAAGGTAATTAAATGAAGAGGATATACTTCCTGGTAATTTTAAACGTATCTTCAGAACGCTTTATTAAAATGTATCTGTGTAATGTAAGGGTAGATGCGAGAGAAAATCTTACTCCTGAAATTACATTAAATTTTAAAATGTAATTTTGACGATCTTTGCGTTTCGTCCGTGACGTATATATGTATGTATGTGTATATTCGTTGATGAGTCTAAAAGGTTCATATAAATTTAGAGAAAATATTACGAATATAGTTCGTATGAAACTTTCATATTGAAACAAGTACCGTTAATATCATTATTTTATTACTTCGTACTTTAGTTCATTAAGTTTATGTTCTTAATAGATAGAGGAAAATCATGAAATGAAGAAAGTTACTCGATTGGAAGACAAAACTGTCTTTGATTTTTCGATTTTACTCTCCTGAAACAGCGATTCTTGTCTTTGCTATACTTTTCCTTAGTAAACTTGTCTTATTCTTGTCTTTCGTACCATTTCATTGTACCAATTCGGACTGAAACGGGTTTTCTTTTCGTTTCGTTTGTCGATTTCATGAGATTAAAAATACAGAAATTGTCGACGTAAGAACATCGAAGAACGAAGTTTAAACGATTGGAAAAGTTAGATTGTAGGAGGATCATTGTAAGAAAACTTTCGAATCTACTTTCTCAATATTTTTTTGAGCCCTCTGTAAAAAGTGCGTTTAATAATTCCATATAATTTAAACATTTTTTTAGATCCTTTTTATTCTTCAATGTTTAATGTAGAAAATCTCTTAATGTAACATGTTTTACCGGACGTTTAAATCGTTGGCTTTACAACATATTAATTTCATAAGGAGCACTTTAAAACGATGATAATTTTTTATTAACCATACTTTTTCGTTATTGCAACATCATGTTTCGTAAACATTTACCTCGTGATGATGCGAATAGTCCTTCAATTTTATTAGAGCTTACCTATCTCATTTACGGTTCAAATTCTTGTTTCCGTTGTATATTATGCTTGAATCTTTGCTAAACATTTAAATCGTCAAAAAAAATATTTATTCGCGAAAGAGATGGTAAAATGAATAAAAGACCAAAAAATAAAAGATATATATATATATAGAAAGAAAGAGAGAAAGAAGATAAAATGAGATGGAGAATAGTAATAGAAACGATGTTCGTCGTTGATTTAAAAGATAACCGTTTTCTTTTTAACCAGCCTGACTTACAAACAGTTTGCTTGTTGGTGTAAAATGCGAGATTTGCGTGACAGAAGCGATGAGAATTATAAAGAATAAGCATAAGCAAAAGAGTAGCTCGAACTTAGAGAAAAAAAGAAAGAGAAAGAGAAAGAGAAAGAGAGAGAGAGAGAGAGAAAGAAAGATGCGATTCGATTTATGGCAAATTGGGACCGTAAATGGAAAATGGAATGAATAGCCAAACTCAGAAGTGGCCCAACGATTCGAACAGATAGAAAAAGAGAGAGAGAGAGAGAGAGAAAGAGAAAGCCTTGAATCGTTCCGATTTGTTCATTTTTAACAAATTCATGGGGTTCTTCTTCAGATATTCGAATGGAAAATGGAAAAACGAGTTTACAGAGCAATGCGAATACCTTCACGCTTTCTTTCTATTTCTTGCATCTTTTTTCGCTCTTCTCTTCTTCTTCGAGCCTCCCCCTCCACTTTTTCAAACTCTACTCAGCCTTTTTCTTTTTTTTTTTTTTCGTTCCCTAGGTTATCCATCTTCCGTATTACAACTGTATCTCTTTCGCGAACGTTATCTTGCGTTTCCATACTACGTTTACACTGTATTTTTTTCTTTCGTGTTTTTTTTTCTTTTTTTCCTTCGTTTTT